AGGTATTTATATTTGTTTACCCCTTTCATTTTTCCTCCATTGGAGATTTATATTTAATGAACCCATTTCGTTACGAAACAATCGCAGCTTCGTAGCTTCACAATTGTAGTTGTAGGAAGACGCCGAAAAAATTCATTTTTTAAACTTTCGAGAAATCTGCCATTTTAACGATCGTGAGACCTGCACAATTCTCTTAAGCCTCCATTACGCTAAAGTCGAAATTTATTTTTAAAAATTGTAAACCGTTGAATTGAAAAAATGGTTTAAAAATAAATAAATTTGATAAAAGATTTCCAAAAAATACTGTTTTCAATAAATGGAACATGGCATTATTTTTAGATGTTTTTGATGAACATAATTCATTAATAAAAAATATCGTCGTAATTTGAATTTTAGGAAGACGCAGAAAAAATATTGAATTTTTGCAATTTTCGATGAATCAGGGTTTGTAACGGACATTAGATCTGCACCAATCTGTTAAACGTCCTTCACTCTATCCGATAACAAAGTTCAATCAAAAACATTGGAGTCTTTTTTTGAAAATCTTCAAAATTTCCCAGGAGCTTCATGTAAAGAACCCTCTAAAACTAAATATCGGTTTAAAATTCAAGGGGCCGCGACATAAGTCAGATCGATGGGGGAATATAAACTTTAGAGAAAATCGGCTGAATAGTTTAGCCTCTAGCGTTGTCCACAGACGATTTACTGTCAATCGATTTTTCAGTATCAAACACCCACAAACTATTGATTCTGGCTTCACCAGTTAGAGGATTTGATTCTCTAAATTTAGGAACTGAATTTATCCACTTTTGTGCCATTTTTTCGCGCTGCGTTACGTAACTTTCCACTTCCTAAGCAGCAGCGACAACTTAAACTAGTGGTGCTACAGAATGGCATAGACTTTCCCGTATTAGTTCTGTATTTCCCTTAGGTCTCTGCTAGCTACTCGGACTTACCTCATACTCTTGCCAGCTACCATCTATTTTGCCGCCCAAAGTATTTTTTTTTTCTTTAATTTTTCGATTTCCTAATAGTAGAACGGAAGTTTTGTTTTAAGAATATTGAAGAACAGTAAAACCTCGCCCTAAATGGTAATTTCCTTTCAAACATTTGGAGCCGTTTTAAAGAATATGGCGTTTAAGCGCTACTGTACATTGGAAATTTAAAGCTCTTTTACACGGAAGCTTTTTGAGTTTTCGAAAAACTTCATTTAAAGTCGTTTGAAGAACAGTAACTCACAAATACAATACTCACAATTTGCTGGAAATGTGCATATTAACGACTTGAGAGATCTTTAAAATAAATTACAGTTGTGTAATTTAAAAAATTCTGCAAAATGAACGTTGTTATATTAAAGAGTGCAATTAGCACTATGCGTTCCAAAAGCATGAAAAAAAAATTTGAAACCGTTTTTGAGAAAATGGCATTTTAACGTTTCTAAAAATGCGTAAGTGGAGTTACGTTTCACAGAAAACGGCTGAGCTTTCTGTATTCATAAATATAATAATGTGAACAAATTGGCTTCAAATTGTAATTTTTGAAGGAGAAAAAAGAATAGAGCAAACTGACGTTTATGTCGTCTTCAGAGTAATTTAGGACTCTCCGTACCCCCCATAAAAAACTTGAGGCTGGGACGAGCTCTAAGCTCCTGTGCGGTAGTCTGGTGCATGCGAGTGGGTAAGTAAGGGGTGATGATATGTCAAGGAAGAGGGAAGAAAGATCACTCACGGTCCGTGGCCCGTTTGTTAGGGTACTTCTCCGTCATTCACGTTGTGGTCGGAGAAACCAAGGAAAACTACCGATCAGGGCAGCCCTGCGAGTTGAACCCCGCGACCGCGACCCGGTCAGAGTCGGTGCAAAGACAACAGTTGATACCCTGAGCCACGTAAGTGGACTCCTTGCTAGTGGAAGCAGTGTTACAGAACACAAAGGAAGGCGGGAGCGCCTTGGGAAAATGAGCTGGCCTCGGGGCAACGCCCCCTCATCGCCTGCGCTGGCGGGCGCACATGGCTCGCGCGCGTCGCTCATCCGCCATTTGCACAACGAGCCACAGGGGTAATCGAAAAATTGAAACCTACCGATTAATCTACACATCGAGTACTTTTCCGATTCAGCTTCATTATTTTGATTCAAATATACGTTTTGAAGACCAATTATAAAAATAGCCCTCTACGTACACAAATTTTAGGAGCGGAACTTGTGAATTTCTCTCTCTGACCGTAGACAAGCCTGAACATGAATTTCCTGATAGCCAAACTGATCGAAAGAATTGTCGCCCACGGTCAAGTTGGTCAGACTGCTCGAGTTCCTCATCGAATCCCCTTTGAGCTATGTGCAGTGGTGGTCATGGAGCCATCTAAAGCTAGCAGCGCCCAAAAACCAATTTCAATCAAACTATATCAGAAATTTAAGGCTAATTAAATGTTCTTTTCCCGAATTTTAGGCTCTTTTGGAGTTCCCAAGATAGTCGGCGCTGCTACCTTTAGACTAGAGCTAGCAGCGCCCACCATAAAATAAATTTCAAATTCTGAAATCATATCTAAAATTTAAGTTAATTTGAGGCTTTAGACAAAAAAGTATTCCCGCATTTTTATTCAAAAAATTAGGGCCGTACAACGAGAAACAATTAACATTCTTTTTTATGGGCAAATACACTAAAATCAAAATCCCAGAAAAAATTATGATTCCCTACCCATAATTTAAATCTAATTTGAGACTCGGGGGGGGGGGATTATTCCAGCATTTTTATTCCAACAATCAGGGCTGTACAAAGAGAGAATTAGCATTGGTTGGTATGGGCTCTTTGTTAGTAATAGTTACGTAATATGGCTCATAAGAACCAATGTTAATTGTTTCCTCTTTGTACATCCGTGATTTTTGGAGGCTCTATAGAGCCTCAAATTAACTTAAATGTTAGGTGTAGTTTCAGAATTTGTAATTTATTTTTAGGTTACTTTAGACTAAAGCCAGCAGAGCTCACGATTTTGGGAACTCCAAAAGAGCCTAAAATTCGAGAATAGAGCATTTAATTAGTCCAAAATTTCTGATGTACTTAGGTTGAAATTGGCTTTTGGGCGCTGCTACTTTTAGATGGCTTGTTCGAATCGGGTTATTTAGACGTTCTTCCCTCTCCGTATCCTCTGATCTCTCATTTGATCATGTCACGTCCCATCTCTAAAAATAATATTTTCGGATTTCACCGAAAAGTCTTTAGTGTTGAGGATCATAATCTAAAATATAATATAAATATTATTCCGCCCGAGTACTCGCACTGCTACAGCAAAACAGCATGCATTGGATGATTCAGCATTCATTTGAACTGCAAATAAGTAAATTAAAACAATCATGTGTTCACTTTCGATCACGAATCGGAGCTTCTTCGAATGAGACCCTCTCCCTTGTTTGCGGTTGCATTGTTCCTCCGAGCCGCCGTTCAAATTGCGTCACATTATGTTTAAATCGCCATTTCTGGGTAGGGGACCGAGAACGGACTTCTGCCATGGCGAACTGTGCAGTTGCCTGGGGACCCCACATAAGGAGGTGCCTCAAATGATATTAATAAAATCAGACATGAGCTCACCACTAAACATGATTGAAATAGTAATTATAAATAATTGGCCATTGTAACATTGAATTCTAACAACACGGAATACTAATATTGCTTCGCGCCGCACGTTTAGGAACGTGGCCGGCCGGTAAGCAGAGGGAACTCGCCTCCTCCTCCCGCACGCGAGCGTATCCACGGAAAACAAATTTTCTCTCGGGCGCTGCTTCCCAGGAAGTGTGAGCGCCGTTTCCACGTGACATTTGAGCTGAACGGTCGCCGCCCTCAGATCGGGCAGCGGACCCACGAAGTTCATGCTTATGCTCCTTATAAATGTCTCGACTGCTTCAACGCCCCTCTCCCCATTTGCCTCTGTATCCGCTTCCGCCCCCTTGGAGAAATCCACTCCACTGGGGGGGATCGACCCCGGTGCGTATCTATACATGGACCACGTATGCAGTCCAAGGCCCAAACTTACCATGGAATGTGTTCCTGGACAAGCGTAGAATTTGGCAATGTGTGCTGTATCCCACCCCTTCAAATGAAAACCGTTTAGTATATTTAACCATAATGGGCTTAATGTAAGATTGTTATGTAACGGTTACAGATCTTCAAGAAAGAGGACATTGAATCATTTTTAGTGAAGTTCTTACTTTGGCTTACGGTTTCTAGATGGTGTAAAATTTGTGGTTAAATTCAATCGTAACAAAATTGTTTTAGTTTATGTTCTGTTGTGAGTTCTTGAACTTGGGTCATCGGCCACCTCTGACAGGGGTGGTATTGTTATCAATATCACTGTAGACTACAAACACCGCCACAGTGTTGACAGGTTTTTCTTTTCCTCTCTTGTTTTCTTCTCATTTTTCAAAATGGTAATATTCAAAGATATGGACTTTCTCAATTTGCCAATTGGACACAAATGAGGAAGAATGTTTACTTTGGTTTTGTGTGTTCCAGGGAGCCGGCCAAGATAAACTGGGAATTTACATCAAGTCTGTGGTCAAAGGAGGAGCTGCTGATGTGGTGAGTTTCTCCATTTTCTCTTACAAAGTTCTATTCATTAAATGACATTTATTTGGAAAGTAAAGAAATCCTGCCTTCTGTAATTTTGGAATAGGAATTTAAATAAGCCCCAAACAAGAGTGCCCTGTTTTGTCTGTTTTTCCGATTCTTAGAATATTCCATTCTGGGAATGAAACTCTGCCCACTGACCCGAGCGCATGTGCATTCTTTCTGACATAGCCTGGTTTTTGCTTTTACTTTCTCGAAGACTACATAGCTCCAGCAAAAAATGCTGATTTTTCCTCACCCAGCTCATATTGGGAGACCCTGATTCCGAAAAAGTGGATTTTCATTTCTTCTAAATGTAGTATTAATGTAGTATAAGATGACACTAAAACTGACAGTAACGTTTGGCTGTATTCTTTGTTGTTGTTGTTGTTGTTGTTTTTTCAAAAATTATACAAATTATGTATTTTTTCCCTCTCTCACGTTGGCAGTATGTACTTTAACAACGATTTGTATACATTATGCCAGTTGTATGCTTCAAATGATGATTGATGACGATCCTGATTCATTGAGGACTCCTGTCTGGAAAACTTGGAGTAAAGAATTCCTCTGGTCAGTAATGATACCTGGGAGTGAACTACTCTATTTGGGGCTGCTTCCATTTAAGACATCCATATAGAATTTGATTGAAGCAGTCCCGAAAATTTAGAAGGCGCATTTAAACCCACTCAGAAGTTGGCATTACTTCATACCTACTTAAAGTCACACTACCAACTGGTGTTATCAATGCCTTCTACATCGATGCTCAGGGAAGTGGACGGTCAAATGAAAACGAGTAGTAGGAGTAGTATAATAGTGGTTTTCAAACTTTTTGCTGCCATGACACCCTTCAGGAACAAATTCTGCACACACTCCCTCATTAAAATTAAATTGGTAATATCAACTAAATCTTTTTTCCTTAATGTAAGGCCATCAAGTATACTTTATTATTATATACTTAGTATAAAAAATAATTATTGAAGTGATTTTCACTGTTCACTGTTGTAATTACTGAATTTCATTAATGTTTGACGAGGTGAGAAAAACTATAAAAAACACATTGATAGTCCAGAAAAGTCAGTGAGATGGGTTGGCTTGTTTAGTGTTACACAGTTCATTGAATCTGAGCCCAAATTTAGAAATGGCAAAGTGCATCTCATTCTGGAGATTTATACTATATTTTGTTTTCACTGCCGTGGCTGAAAATCATGTTTCACATAGGTAAGAAATGGCAAAAGGAAGCAGAACTCACAAGGTCTTAACTCTGGATTCTCAGTTCTTACGGAACTCCCATATACAAATGTTCTCTCCCCAATTTGTTAAAATTAATAAATGCCCATGCGTAGTCAATAGAAATATATGAATGTAGAAATAATTAGAGATATAGTATTTTTTATTCAATTATTACAAAGTTCTTGCAACTCCCTGGGGAGGCGTGCCTCACAGTTTGAATTACACTGTAGTATAATATTGCTAAGCTGTTTCAAATTCTGTGAGAAACTATGTTCTGTTGTAGTTACAATAGTTGCAGTAAACAAATCATTTCCATAACAACTTAAATTTCTCTTCTAAATCTCTAATTACAATTAAAACACCACATTATATCAGCATTTTCTTTCTGCAGAATGTTAAAAAAAAAAAAAAATTGCCTCTAAACAAAAGATCTTTTTAAAATATTTTAAGTTAATTATATAATTTCTCTTATTAAAAGATTGATTCATTTCATTGGGGCTGTGAAATGAAAGTTCTTGTTACCCATGCTAGAAAGCATATTACATAAATTAAATGTTTCTAGACTAGTTTATTCTATTTGTCATTATGCTAGGTATTATTAACATTAAAGAACTGTGTGCTGTCATCTACCCAGTCTTTTGTGAAACTGTAAAAGCTCACTATACATTGAAGGTGGCTTTCTGATTTTTCCTGGGTTTTAGTAGATTTCTTAAGACCACTTATTTTGCAAAAGCCAGTTGACACCCAAATATATTCATGGATTCTTTTTGAAAATACAAGGCATTGGCTACAAAAGAGTTATGACGAACCCGCACTTCCACTGCGCGACTTGTAGAGCTCATAATTAATCACCATAAAGTGTCTGGTATAAATTTTGTGTTTTTCGACCATTTGAGCAATTAAATTCGTTAAAGGAGGGCAAGTTCAGCCTTTCTGAGTGGTCAACAGTTTCTCTTCAAATTTCAGGGAACCCAAAAGTTTTTGAGTCAAAGCACAATATCTTTAATTTCTCCCATAATGAATAATTCCCCATTATCTGAAACAAGTACTTGGTGAAAGCTTACTGTGGAAGTGGCACTTAAGTAATAGAACTGAAAGTGTAGGATAAATTGGGTTACATGCTTTACTACTTATCAGTGATATTGATGTACATTGTACATTATTTCTGCACAAGAGGAGTGGAGAAAGTTAAATTGGTTTGGAAAATTTGAAAAAGTCAGAAATTATTGTTTGGTAGAAATAGCAGCAACCCTGTAAATACTTTTTGAGTCCACATGTCCAGTGTTGAGAGGATATTTAAAAAACCCTCGAGTTCTATACAGCATACCATCACAATAAAGCCAAAAGTGACTACGTGTCTTCATCTTGATGTCTCAATATTTCTAGGAAAATTGAGTGAAGGCAACAGAATCAAAAATTCTAGAAACACAGCAACACTATTTGATTTTGTCTGAAATTAAAGATTTAAATTTTATTAATGTAAACAAATTATACAAATAACTCAAAAAATGGATGCAGTTATAAATGTGGGCAGCATGAAATACCTATGGAAACACCCATAGAATTCTCTTAAATAGAAAATAAAAGTAGTAATAAAAATTTGTTAAAATTAACTAAAATATTAATTCAGAAGATTCTCAGCTCTCCCTGCGTATTTACTTTTGTGCATTTCTTACTTTGTTTATTTTTTAAGAAAAATGCTTTGCAAATCCCCACTGGCAAAATATATTGTGCTTTGTTTTTACCATTAAATGCATTGTTTCAGGATGGTCAATTACAAGCTGGTGACCAGTTGTTGAAAGTGGATGGTCAAAGCTTAGTAGGAATCACTCAAGAAAAGTAAGTATACATTCACAAAAGGAAATGTTAATTCAAGGTCTAGAAATGTGACAATCATTGTTCATTGTGTTACTAGAGCTGCAGAATATCTAGTTCGTACTGGTCCCACTGTTACTTTAGAGGTAGCAAAACAAGGCGCAATATATCATGGGCTAGCTACATTATTACAGCAACCATCACCTGTAATGGGACGAGGTAAGTAATGTACTTCTGTAATAAATAGCATTGATGTAGAATTATTCCTAAACTCCTCAATAATTAAGATTCTGCCAATAAAGTATTAAATTTTAAATATTAATTTTGTGCGTGCGTGTGTAAACAAATGAGTAATGTTGCGTGTTACAATCATCATTATTACAATGAACTTTTTAATATGGTAACTATAAAATAGTTTTCAAAACAAAACAAAAATTATAATACTTGCATGTAAAACAAATCTTCACCTTATTTTTCTCTTATCCCTAACTTATGATTGCCATACAAAATGCTGTACAAAAGGGAATATTGGAAATTTTACATTTACTGAAAGTGAAAATTCTCTTGCATGTTTTCTAATATTAATATTTAATTCACTGTCACTTGCATATACATAAATTTTTCTACTCTAGTTCTTGGTGCCTTCTTGCTATTCTGAAAGCTGGTTTCTCATTGCTTGTATTAACTTTGCTTTTCTAATGCTTCTCTAACAGCCTCAACTTCTGCATCTCGTATTCGTCCCAAATCTGAACTGATAACGCAACCTCCCAGTGTCACAAGAGCTGGTGATGCAAACTCAACCGGGCCTATGTCAGGAACAATGTCCCTCATGAACCTTCATGCTCCAGCCTCATCAGCCCAACCTCAGCCGACCGTGGTGCCTTATCAGGAAAGACTTGTCGATTGGAATATGCCGTCAGGTGCTGTTCGTTCATCACATTCCAAATTAAACTCATCTGTGAATAGAACCCAGAAAAAGGACTGCAATCCTAATATGTACCTTACATATCATTCTTCTCATTCTAGCCATCCTTCACCCAACCCAGCTCCTTCCTTCCTCCAACCTTCATGTTCATTTGAACATAATATCAATCGTCAGGAAGATAAAAAAATATCACTGCCTTCTTTGGCTTCCAGTAAAATTTTGGTAGTCCCATTATCTGCTGCACAAATTACTTGTGGTAATAATGATGAATGTTCAACATCCCCAGTTGCATCACCTTTTCTTGAAACAGAAGATGAAAATAATCATTGTGTAGATACTGAACAAATTTCAAAAAACTTTCAAAATTTGAAATTTTGTACCAAATACTCAAAGCAAGTAGATGAATCAAATTATTCTGCAAATATCTGTGATAAGTATGATAATAAAGTAGATTTCAATCCAAACATTTATAAGTCAAACATTGCTCGTGGCGTATTTGAAGGGGAGAATAGTTCCCTGTCTTCAATTGTTTCCAGTGGGGACAATGATGAATCAGGATCTCCTTGTTGTCCTAATGATTGTTGTTCCCATTCCTCCACAAACACTTCTTCTGATTCATCTGATCAAACTAAAAGATATAACAGAAATGATTTTTCAGTAAATAAAAACAAATTTGAAATAGAGGAAAAGCTACGAATAATGAAAGATGTTGATGAGGTTCTATTAGGTGATTTTGAAAGTAAAGATTTTAGTTATAATAAAAACAAACTGGATACTGACTCCAAAGAACAGAATGTTGCTTCAGGTCAAAGAATTTCATTTGAAAATATTGAGTTGCTTAATGATGAAAGTAGTTGCAAGTGTGTACCTTCTATGTTAAATTTAGATTTGAGTAGTTTTAATGATGAACTTGATTTAAATGGAAGTAGCTCTACCACATTATCCAAGTGCTGGAAGTCTCCTGATGAAGTGAGATTGGGGAGTGGCCGAGTAGCTGCTTTAGCCAAACATTTTTCACAGCTTGGCGAAAATGGTGTATTTTGCCTACATAATCACAATATATGGAAGATTAAGAAAAGAAACTCGGCCAAATTGGAAATGTTCAAATCTGTCCCTAATATTTCTGAGGCAGGAATTGTGAAGGAGGGTGAATGGAACGTACCCCCACAGTCTGGTGTGTGTTACCTTGCTCCTTCAACATTTGAAGACTCAAGTCCCAATTCATACAGATTTGTGTACACAGTGGGTCTGAAGCCAAAAAGTGTTAGTTTAGACAATATCGATGACAACAGTGAAAATCGTAGTGTACAATTTGTTAATAGTTTACAAAATAGTTTGGAAAAAACAAAAACGAAAGAATGTGCAATAAATTTAAATGATAATAACAAGTTCTGTAGTATGAAAAGAATTCCATTTCAAATGTGCATCAATGATACCAAAAACCCTTCTAGCAACAAAGATGAAGAAAACTATTTGGTAAGTACTGCCTCATATCAAAGTGGAGAGCCATTTTTCAATTCTAAAACAAATCACGTCCATTCAAATGAAAATGAAGAACTAAACAATCCTATTTACACTTCAGCTAAACAAGATCATTTAAATCCCACTAGAAGTGAGAGCTGCAGCTCCTTGTCCAGTTGTACACGTAACTATAACATATCAACCCACCAGAGTAATAAAAGCTTCAGTGAAGATAATATTTTGTCCAAGAAATCTACTAACTATCCTGTGTCACCTACAAATATTTGGACTGCTCCATATCCTTTAGTACACACAAGTTTTGTTAAGAATGTATTGACTGAAACGAAGCCTAGTCACAAAATGTCTTCTGAGGATAGATGCAAAAGTGAAGGTAATATGCTGAACTTAGGACAACCAGCATACCTAGTGACAAGAACACTGTGTAATGTGCAAGTTCCCGAGAGCTATGAGTTAAAATCTAGAAGTGCAGATAATTTGACAGTGTCTAGTTCAGAATCTCTCTTCAAAGCAACAAAACTTAGTGAGAATATTAAAAGAGTATTGCATCAAAATCCTTACAATGAATGTCACATGGTGGGGTGTACACACACAAGAAACTTTGGACACCTTCAGAAAAGGCCTTCAACACCTTTGAAGATAATCAGTAAGCTTAAGAAGTATCCTGTTAGCATGAATGTTTACTTCTGTTTGCAACCGTTTGTTTGAGTTGTTCAAATGTATTACTTGCATATTTGTTGGAAATGCATGGATATCAACAGTTTATTTTATTTTTGCATATCCATTTATATTTTTTTAATTTTTGTTCCAGAATCTACAATGTTAAAGTTATTTTATTGTATAGTACAAGTGTCATTATTATTATTATTATTATTATTATTATTATTATTATTATTATTATTATTAAAAACTATTTCTTCCTTCGTATGTCATCTGGTACACAAAGTGAATATTACAATTTTTAAATGGTGAAGTATAGATTGTGATGAAAGTTAAAATTATATCACAGAAACATTCTTAATTATTTTCTACTTAAACCCATAACCTATATCATTATATCCTTACCTTGTAATCTTTAATTTTCATTTGGCATATGTATGTATGTGTGTGTGATATAATAAAAAGCATGGTATGGGCACTTTGTGTACATCACATGCACGTGAAATATTTGCATGTTGCTTACTTTCTTTTTTATCAAAGTTGATTTACCTTTATATATTAATTTTTTATTAATTTACTTTTTAAATTAAAGAATGATATTTAAAAGGATTGACCTATTAAGATTTTTTTAAATGTGCTGTTGACTTTCTTTAGGGCCTCGTAGAATGAGTGAAAGAGATCTGCCATCAAGAGTTTTAAATGAGCAGACTCATTTGGGAGATGCCAGAAGAAATTTAACCAATCACGCACCAATTCAGAGTTCAAAATCTGTACCTTCATTAAATAGTAAGTGGTTTACTATTTTCTACTATAGATGTTTTGATAAATACATTCACTTAAGCATAGATGAATTTTCTCATTCAGATTTAGCCCTTAATGTAAACAAGATTGTTATTGTTATAAAAATAATAATAATAATATTTGCTTAATTCAAGACTAAAAATGTTAGAATTTGCTTAAATATAAATTACTGAAGATTAATACCTGCTTTCTAGGGAGCAGATATAGTGATTGTGCCTCCACAATACTGTGCATAGTTATAAAACAGTTCTTATAAAATATGAATTGTTACCAATAATGCACTTCCCAATCATTTGGTTGACCTGAAAGTTTGCACAAATTCTTGCTTAAATTTTGCAGAACAAATTCTACATTTCTAGGAATGTGTAGGCCATTGTGTTAGCTTGAAAGCTCTTTTTGTTATGTTAGTTATTGCTTAGCAAGATCCTTATTTTAACTGAGAGTTTAATACATCGGGATGTGACTAGTGAGACATGAAATGTCCTAATCCTGTAGTTTTTTGCATAATTCTTTTAAAGTATGTAAATAATATTGCAAGTGCAATGTCAATGAGAATTAGTTCTAGAATCACATCAAATCCCTGTGCAGTTATTTACTTTTAGATAGTTTATAATATAACTCTTAGAAAAATATATTTCCACTATTTTTAAGAATTCAACTATGCCAGTCTAAAGAGAACTTGCTCTACACTTTCAGTACAAATGATCACAGCAGTTGATATGCTTGGGGGGAGGGGGATTTTCCCATGTGTTTGGAGTATTTCTTGCATCTTTATACACTTCTTAATAGTATCGTTAATATCATGACTAATACAGTTTATCTGTGAATGTTTTAATGAATTCTGAATATCTATAAATTGTTTTGTAATATTTTTTCCTCATCAAACTATTTTCTGGTATTTTGGCATTCCTTGCATAGATAAGTCCAGTTTTGAAGTACTTTTATTTCTTTTCTGGAAGATCTATTCGTTTTAGAAGCACCCTGTTCTGCATTATTCACATTCGTTGCCTTTGCCTACTTTTTCAATGCCTAATGTACACATTGTTCTCTCTCTGTAGTCTTTGTTTCCAATTTTTCAGTTCTTGCTGCTGCCAATTTACATTCACTTTGTCATATTTCTTTGGTTTGTGTCATACCTAACAAAGCTTAAAATAAATATCCTTCATAGTTAAACACATAAAAATACGCTTTCACTTTTTACTGTTTCTTATTGATTTGCACTTCACTTTCTTGAAGTGTATCTACAAGATGTCGTCCATTACCTGTCCCAAACCAAAAGTTATCTGAACATAGTGCCAGTGAAACTCCACAGCTTAGGAAAGAAATGTAATGTATCTGTTATGCCTCAAAAAGGAAAGATGCTCACTCCCACTTTCTTACTTTGTAATTTTTCCTGTCTGTTATAATGAATGATAGCTAACATTTCTTACTGCTGAAACTGTCTTTATTGTGTCAGCCCTCAGCATACTTCACATATTCATATATCAGTGCTAATTTCTTTCTGACTTATAAATTTCTTTTATATTACGTAATTTTCTTAATTTGGAAGCTATTAGTACAAATAACATTTATTTTTATATAATTAATTAATAAAGAAAGTGATATTAGTTAAAATGGGTGAAGGGATTGGGAAACACCCAGACTGCAAATTTCATTGAGGCTATGTGAAAAAGTTATCTTAATTTGTACATTTAAGTATGTATCTTTTCAGTGTTATTCACCTTCGTGATATCATCTCATATGTGTTTAATTTTTGCAGGTGGAAACAATGATCTTGTTCATGGTCATCTTTCTCAAACTGCGACTGTTAATACACCAAACAAGTCCCATGAAGTGTTCAACCCAGGATACAGTCGTACGTCTTCAACAAATAGCATCCCTCAGAATATTCCCCCAAAACCGTACGATGGACATCTTCATTCAGGAGGTGGATTGCGATCCAAGTGAGAATGATATTTGTTTCTTGGTTGGTTTTTTCTCCCTCCACTGAAAATAACTAAACCACCATCGTTTTTCCCTGTGCAAGTGCTTGAAGAAATGTGTGAATGTTTGATTTTATTTAAATTATAATTTTCCTGAATATAAAAGTAATAATTAAAATATCAAAAACAACCATTCTATTATTAGTAGTATTGTTGGTGTTATTGTCCATTTAATTAATGATTTTTGCTGGAATTCATAGGTCCAGCCAAAACTTAAACGATCCTCGTAGCCCAACTGCAGCTTTGCCTCCGAGTGGTCTTGGCTCTCGTCAGTTGTCCAATCCAAGTCTGCACCATTCTCAGTACCCTCCAACTGCCATCCACCCTTTCCATGGAAGCCCCTCCCAACCCACACCCCCATCCCAGCACCACCACCCCCATTCAAGCCCCCAGCAGTACCCCCACCCCTCCCAGATAAACCAGCAGCCGCAGCATGGGATGCCTCCTAGTGGACACGTGCCCAGTCAGCAGCACCCGCTTCTTGGAAGCCAGCATGTTGCAAACCAGCATGAGGGAGAGAGATTTTATCAAAATTTGAGTATTTATCGTAATCAAGAGATTCATAACGGCTATCCTCCTCCTAGTCCCAATCGAGGGAAGTTGCCCAGTCCTCAAGTTCAGGATGACAAGTAAGTAATAATATTTAATATTGGAATTAGAAAATGATCCTTACTTCAAAAATATAATTTTGCATTTTACGTCCAGGAGCCCCACACACACTCAAAAGAATCTGCGAGGCTCCCAATCTTCTTTGCATAGGCCACCAGATGCCTTGCAAAGCAACTCTAGAGAACGACCAGCATCTGCTTATATTCCTGCCAAGGAAACATTAGGAAGTCCTCAACATGGCTCTGTAAGTTTAAAGTTTGAGTTAGAATTTTTAATATAATAATAAACAAGAAGAAAAATAGAGAGGAATCATTAATGTTTTTAATACAAAGTTTGCTTTAGGAAAAGATGTCAGGTATCAATATTTTTATTGTAGAGGTCTTTGTGATTGTGTCACAATCGACAGAATACACCATCAGAGTTAGTGTAGTATCATCTGAGTGGAAAACAAAGATTTCAGCCTCTCAATAGAGCATTGCTTGTTTGCTTTCAGTTTAATTCTTAGCTGCAATCATATAAATATTTAATTGCACAATACAGTACAAAACAAAGTTAAAGAACTACAATTCTGTAAATCAATTAATATTCTGAATGAAATATAACTACTAAATGTTTTTCAAAACTGTATGATTGCAACTTTGTATTTAATTTGTGTTAGGTATAATTTTTCTGTACTATTTGTTTAAGCACTGTTTTATAAGAGATGGAAATGTTTAATGTCTCTACATGTGGTCGCTAATGAACAAAGATGTTAATTCGACTTAAATAAATGTATTTAAAAAAAACTATATTTTTAAAATAATAATATTAAGTTTTAAAAAAAAGTTAAATTCCCTGGATGAAAGAGTCGTGAGGAAAAGGCTTGGTCTAGGAAAATATTTGGTTAATGGCCCAAGCGAGTAATACAAAGTTGTCATCGTAAATATTTGTGTTTGAATGCAGAACATGGCTCCAAGATCTCAATCCACCAGGGACATAATGCGTCAAGAAGCTAAACTCCAAGAGATGCAGGAGGAAGTCAGGCGTCGAGAGCTACGAGGAGGAGCTCCTGTGGGCGCACCACAGCACTATCCAGTGCAACCAGGCAATCACCCTCGATCTCAGGTATTGCATTACTTGCTTCAAGTGGTACTTCTGCAACAGTTTTTCAAATATAATGCTGAATAAATGAATTTTAATGAATGTTTATTGTGCTGAAGAAATTTGACTTTCATTCACTTGACATCTTTATAAAAATGAATTAAAAAAAAAAAAAAATTGAGAAATATATTTCTGAAAATCACATGAAAAGATAATGCTATAAATTTGTGTGTACAAGATGTGATAAAAAAAATATGGTGAATAATTTTATTACAAAGTAATAAACTAACATAGAATTTGAATTAATCTTCTTTAAAGTACTGCCTTTGACTAGTGATACATTTGTCCCAACATAGAATCGGCAACTAGAAACATTTCTGAAAGGCTTATAGTCCAGTCAGTATATACGTTTTACCTGTATAAAGGTCATGAAAACTTTTTCCTTGAGAATGTTGAGTGTACCCAGGCGCTAGTTGAACCATGGCCCTCTCTCAAGAGATGGTCAGCGACTGGTCCATCTGGACATGCAAGGGCAACCAGCCGCCTCTTAGCCCAAAAGTGGCTCATCTTCAACCAATTTATTTCACCTTTTAAATCATTCATATCATTTGTAAACACTTCAGAGTTATCAACATACAACACATTATCAACATACACATTGAGCATTTCACGAAAGCTGACTAGTCAGAACGTGTTCGAACTTGACACTACCCATCTCAACAGAATAGGCTATTGGACATACTAGATCAAAGTAATGTAGCAACAGCTGTTGCTGCTATAAAAACATTGTTTTTTTATTACATCTTGTATATGCAGTGAAAAAAGTTCAATATTTTCAGTGTTAATTGTAAATAAGTATAAGAGATATACAGAGGTGACCAAATTATTGCCTCAGAGGGAGCCAAATAACCTCTGTATTTTTAAGTTGCTATTTTAAAAAAAATTGTATCAGAATTGTGAATATTATTATTATTATTTACAGGTTGCCCATATGCAGCAAAGAATCTCAAATGCAAATTTTCAATATCCAAATCCAGACGCAAACAGCTCTAATGTACCTCAGCCCCAACAAGCCTCCTACCCTGTGCCTAGTGGTCACAATCATCCTAACCCTGCTCATGCACCTATGTCTCCCACATACAACCATCCTCGACCTCAGCAACTGTACGGACCACCTCCAACAGCCCCGAAACCAGGTCGCCATGGGCCTCTCTCAGGGGACGGTCAGCGTCTGGCCCATCTGGACATGCAAGGGCAACCTCGCCTCTTAGCGAACAGCGACGTTCACACTGCCCCTCGTCAAGGACCTTCGGAGGATGTTGGTTATAGGGACTCCCCTCCCCCACCTCCACCGCCTACATCCACACATCCTTTATATCAAACCCAACCACCTTCTAAACAAATTCCTGCAACAGGACATCAAGACAACAGGTGAGCCCTAAAATGAAGTGGAGGATATCCTTCTAATATTGTTCAAGTTTATTTGAAGTTAATCTGCCAGTGATATTTACATTTTGATATTAGTCTTAAAGATTCATATCTGTTTTTTGCCTTTACGATAGATTGTGGTCAAGTGCACATTGGCCTAAAAGCTTGCACTCATCCGGCAAATAAACAGTTTATTAAATTAATATTAGTAACATACAGTTTAAGAAAACATATTTTATTTCAGTGGTAAAGTTTGTGATAAATAATAAAAGGTTTGAAGTATTTAAACAATATTGTTGCTAAGAAATTTCCAATATTTAGTTCATTGTATGTTGATACAGCAACATAAGAAACTACACTCTTGTATCCTTCAGAGACACAAAAGCTTAAGCCAATTTTAAGACTAAAAAGCTCTTTGATTTTTAATTATGCATGATGGTAAAGTGTGTTGTGGATTGTATGTGCCTCCATAAAATTCTCTTTATTCACCTTTAATCTGTTTGATGCAGATTGGAGGGAGGAGTGTCTAATATTATTAACTTATTTATATTATTAACCATATAACTTATTCTCTTAGATGTGATTTTTATTGTTAGTATGATAAGAAAAACATTACAAAAAATTTCCTTTCTCCGTTTTCTTAAAATGTATTGTGTATTTATTTCGACTTACATAAAATATCATATACGTGTTATTCAGTATAAAGGTTTTTCTGTTGCATTGCGACAATCTTCAGTCAAATTCTATGGCAGCCCTAGTAAAGACAAAACAGCTATATTCTTCTTTTTTCTTCTTCTCCTCATCCTTTTTCTTCCCCTCCTCCTCCTCTTCCTCCTCGTTCTTCACAACTTTTTTTTCTGTTCTCTCTCTTTTTTATTATTTTCTAAATGTTCATTAATGCAAGAAAAATTCAAAATTAGTGTTCAACCAATCAAAATTAGTGTAGTATTTATAACCACATTAACTTAAAAAGTACTTACCCTAAAAATTTATTAAAATATTTATCAATATACCCAATTTTCATTGTAATTAATACAGTTGGCTTTGAATCAGATCAATCCAAAGAAACAAGCTTGACTTAATAATTATTATCCTCTTTCTTTTATCTAAATATAATAGTGCAGTAATAATAATAAGAAGAAGAAGAAGACGAAGAAGAAAGAGCAAAAGCTAGTAATTTCAGACAATATAGACCAAAGATCATCAGGCTAATATATATTTTACCTGAATTACTAATGACAAAATTTGAAAAGGAAATATAATTTCAGTCTAGCATTTTAAAATTAATTATAAAATAATGAAATTATTCAATAACAAAAAGACGAAACAAAACTATTGGGTAGGTCTAATTTGGTTTACAACATTCGATGCTGTAATTATGATAAAGTGCAAAAAGGTAAATATCAGGTTTTTTATTCAGTTTCCCTGATCTTTTGAGTGAATGCTGAGGTGACCCATTGCTTTGCTTTTGGTCATGAACTTCACTATCTTCACCATCTGTGCGGGTACTTTCTCTAAACTTTCTATAATTGCCGTTCTTGATCATATGGCAGCTTTCGTTTTTTGGCAACGCTTTGTTGAATTGTTGGGTCTGTGTGTCTATTGACTGTGACACACAGGCATAAGTTTAATGGCAAGACTGCCTATTCCAAAAATTTGAAATAATCCTACTGTTTAAACTTATTTAATGTTGTTGATTCCAACATTCAAAGCACAAATTACTCTATGCCACTTCTTGCGCTACCACATCGTCACAGCAAAAACATTTGTGCAAGTCAGACCCAATGAGAGAGGAGGGAGTGACAGCAACAAATTTCTCAGGGTCCATCAAGTGATCAAATAAATATTGGGTTCATTGATCCAGAAAAGAAAATGAAACAAGGAGAGGGCTGCCAATGCAACATTGAGGATGCATTGGCAAAGATATTCTTTTTCTAAGGCAAGGAAAATTCGTAAGAACAGAGAAGACTGGCTTTCCTCTATAATAAAAATGTCAACTGTGACTCATGTGAGCAGGGTCATGACGGCAAGTTTAGTAAAGATAGACAAACGGTATAACATGATCTGTCTGAGTGAATATTTAGAAAAGACAGGCCCCAAACAATAGTACATATGGAAAAGAAAGTCTCTATCAGTATTATCTGCTTGCAGCAAGGGTTACTAGCTACCAGAATATTAAGTTGTTAAGCATATTCTTGGTGCAAGGGATGTTTGTGGGCCACAGTTTGAATAGCATTTCTCATAAATGAGTAAGAGAGAGTGAATCCACAGCATTTGCCCCTGTTCCCATTGCTTTCCCCTTCGTTTCTATTTTTTGTCAGTGTTGTTGCTTTGAGCTGCCTTCACCTGCCTTTGGACTTGGCAGGGTCCTCAGTGTAACCACTCAATTTGTTTCATGCCTAACATGGACCTGGGTGAGACCAAACAATACCAATAAAAATTCATTTATCAACATAAATAAGGATCCTAATATACATACCTCCTTTAACTTGCCATTGAACAGAATTGAACCGTATGATGAATGTTGATACTGTAAATATTTTAACACTAGAATGGCAAAACCCCTGTCTCAGTTTGTTTCTTCAATGACAAATTCAGTTTTTAAAGCGTTTTCTTTCAAACATTGTGACTTTTCCTCATTCTTATTTCACGGTCTAATTGGGTCATTATAATGAAGATATTACACTATTGCAATGGCAGAATAGCACTTACGCCTCTTGAAGAGAGACAATAAATCAGACTTGGTAATGATGAAGAATTATCGAATCATTCTGGTAAAGATGAAGACAGAATAAAAAATTTTGTAAATTTGTTCTATTTCTTATGGAGAATTTACTAAACCCAGGAATAAACATGACAACTAACAAATTTTTCACATCTCTTCAACTTGCAAACAAGCTTCAGTGAAGAAAACTTCAACAGTGGAGTAATCAACCCAAATGAACGTAAAATCTGTTGTATTGAAATAAAATGCAGAAATTCAGTAAAATGCAGTTGTTATCTTCTGACACCCTCCAGCCAATACAAACTGCGCATTGGCAGTACATCAAATAAGGAAAATAATGTGTTGTTTTCCGGCGCACATTATCTGGAAAATAGCTCTCGGTGATGAAGGAAAAACGAAGCCTGAAGCCACAAAATGCAGGGTAGACTTAGTATACCAAAAGATTCGGAAATACTGGACCAAAGCAGCATGCCTGTGCACGTTTTCTATAATATTTTGGACATGGCAGCAACCAATACTTGCGTTATCTACAGTCATATTATCATACTAAAGAAAAGATGTAAAGGAAACAGTTAATTATTCAACTCCATTGTGAACTTAAGGCAGGGGTTTGTCAAAAGTTCATGAAGAAGCAGAAGAGGCTGAAGTACTGGGGTCATTTAAAAGTTTAGAAGTGCCAATGGCTTTTGTGAGAACTGCCACACAGTTGTCTGTGAAAAATGTGCCAAAAAAGTGGAAATGAATGCTTTGATCAACCCCTGTTAACATGCAACCCTAAGATTTGTTAAGTGCACTTATACCTCCCTGTATGGTTAGAAATTTAACATCCTTAGCAACGTAAATAAACAGCCATTAATTCATCGCAAGTCAAATGTTTATTAAGAGAAAAAACGGTGATGTTTTGTACAATCAGTTTTCAACAATTCAGAATAAAAGTTACTCATATTAATATTGGGGATAACTATTGTTAATTGTAATATTAAGTGCAATTAAAAAATGTGTATTAGATAAATTAACCTCTTTTCTGGAATTCCACCAAAAGACTCTTCTTTGGTAATCATATTTAGTTGATCTGAAGGTGTTGCTACTGGAAGTCTACAAACCAACTTCATCATCAAACGTCCTGTCTTTAAGAGGTTCAGGAGAATTATTTGTATTGATCTTTGCTACACTCTGCCTTGATTTTTAACTTTTGTTCTCTGCGGAAATAACACTCTTAACATTCCTAGGTACGTTAATAGCTATAACGTCGAACTTTTCAATAAATTTAAAATTTAGGTGGTATACAAATATAGAGGTTTGATTTTACTGTGGTTCTGAAGTGTTCTTTCATTTGCAGCATTTATGAAAGTTTAGAAAAATGTTCTTTGTAACTGTTGATAGCACTGACTTAGCTGTTGATAGCACAAGCTTTGTTCAAATAAATATATAAATAACAACAAATCTGGTTTAATTGTAATGTGAATTAACCAAATCGGTCTTCCAATTATTCATTAGTACTATTTTTATTTTTTATTATTATGCTGGGTAGCTTATTCAAATTTTATCCCTGAATGATGTGGATATATAGAAATAATGAAGGTTGAATTACTACAGTAACATGTATCATGTCCTCTATCCTAGATACACAGCAAGTATGGGTGAACCTCCACGAGGAAGTTATTACACCTCTAACCCATCTGGTTCTGGAAATTCCAGTCAGCCACGCCAATTCCAGTTCAATGCTACAAATCCTTGGGAACGAGAAGAGCGTGAAAAGGTTTATACATTTCTTTAATTCTAAATTGGTGTTAAATAACTTCAATTCAATTGGCTGTAAAATGGCCGTAAAAATTTTCTAAACTGATGAAGCTGCATATTTTGCCATGAGCTTTGATTGAATCCATTGTCCACTCAATGGACTATGATGAGCAGTGTCTTTTGTAATCTTTTGTGCATAATGATCTCTGCTCAGAAAGAGTTTTATCTTTAAAAAATATCTTGATGCAACCGTTTTCTTTGAATTTCTTTAAAATATTATTGTTATGAATATTCATTGAAAAAATAATATTTGACATTTTCCTTTTTGTGCCTTAGAAACTATAAAACAATTGGGTTTTGAACTGTTTGATATTGCCGGTTTAACAAGCGAAAGCAGATTATACTTTTAGGATCACAATGTGGTTTGATTCCAAGAACCATAGTTTCTCATATGAATTGTAGGAACAGCAACGTCGACGAGAGGCAGCACGGGCCTGGAGAGACCAGCAGATTGCCGAACTGTCAGCATTGCCACAGAGGACTGCCCAGCAAGAAGAGCAGTTGCGAGCTCTCAAGTTGGAACGAGAATTTCAACGTCGAGCAGAGGAAGCTGCGAGGCAAGAAGAGGAGGAAGAAGGAGATGACGATCAGGTATAGAAGCAGGAAGAAGAATGATAAATTGTGACTGCAATGTCATTTAATCTTCTTCTTCCCCTACTTTTTTCCCTTTCTTTTTTCAGCTGTTTGTTATGTACTTTCTCCAAATAATGACGTTTATATTATTCCTAATATTACTTTATTTCACTCTTTTCCTTTTTTATAAATATGTATGTTTTGGCTTAAGTCCAAACTGGCTAATTCCCTAATTAGCTGGTGATCATTCACATCATCGGAAATTGTAGAGGAAATTTCAAAGTAGCACACTTCAGACTTTAGCTGAATGTCATGCACATTAGCTAATATGATGTAGTTAGGGTGGATAAAGTACATTACTGTGACAAGGAATAGCAGTTAATATTTAATAATCAGGGACCAAACTACTGGTGGGAAGTTTTTTAGACATTAGAAGCAAGTTTTAAGTTACAATGTGACAGTTGTAAATTTCTATTTACACAAAACTACATAACCCAACCTCACAACCACATTCCTCAGTTTGTTGCTTCATTATTAATTTCCAAGGCTCTGGCCGTCCTTCAGCCATCGTCCTGTGACCAATGCCATTATTAGCCAGATGAAGACTGAAATCATCTCTTCATCATAATTGAGGCAGCTTTATCGAAATCTTGTAGCTAATGTGCAAATTAATAAGTTAATTCATGAATTAGCCACATGTTGGACTTAACCCATACTACTAAAACATGAGCAGAGGCATTGATAATAAGTGGTTATTTTCAATTGTCTGCAAAGGCAAACATGTCATGGAAACCTTAATTGCAGTAATCCTTTTTAAAGTTAGTGTAATGTATTTTGTGTCATTTTTCTCAGAAATATTGTGCTGTTTCTTTGGTGAGAATGTACTTTTGTACTATGCTAATGGTTGGATTGTTGTTGGTTATTTCAATAAATAAACTTATAGTTCTGTATAAGCAAGCTCAAATTGGAAGAAGTATGAACATCCATATGAAGTTGTTTAATTTAAATGAATTTCATTTCATTAAATACTTCACTTTGTTCAACCATTTCAGCTCAGCCTCGTGGGTTGTTTAGTTTTATATTGTTAATTAGGTTTTAATAGATCTGAGTTTTTTGGGTACATTTTTCTGGTAAAAATACGAGGTTATTGCCCTGAGTTAAAATGTTTTTAGAAGTTATTTTGTATATTTACCTTATTCTAACAGTTTATTTTCATAATAAACATTTTCAGGAAAGTGTTGAAAGAGTTCAAGGATTACTTCGCATGGCCACACTTCAGCAAGATGATGCAGCAGAACGAGCTCGCAACCACAGCAATCGCCGTGGTCCTGCTGATGATATTGACCAAAATAGTCTTCCTGGACGTGCCACAATAAGTGCTGCTTCAAGTTCTGCTGCAGTGAGATCACCTGTTGTCGCCGCAGCTGCTGAAGATAAGAGAAGACAAGAAGAAATAAAAAGGGAGCAAGAAGAACGAAGGAGAAGGGTATGTTCTTGTGTGTAATTTGCTAAATATGTAATTCAAGCAGAAGGCAAAAGCTTTGTGTTAAAAATGAATATATGATTAAAAAATTATGTGGTCTGCTTTTTTTTTTTTATTTTAATGATTTGACTTAATTGTTTCAAGTTACATTTGCTAATTTTGTTCCCAGTTTCATCTTTTCTAACTGCAAGCTTGAAGGTTCAACACAAGATTGTGTGTTATAATGTTGCAGGAAGATGAAGCTAGGCAGAAACACCACCAGCAAATGTTGTTGCAACAACAGCAGCAGCAGCAGCAGCAACAACAACAGCAGCAGCAGTTACAGCAGCAACAACAGTTGCAGCAGCAACAGCATTTGCAGCAGCAGCAGCAGCAGCAATTGCAGCAGCAGCAACAATTGCAGCAGCAGCAGCAGCAGCAGCAATTGCAGCAGCAGCAGCAGCAATTGCAGCAGCAGCAGCAGCAATTGCAGCAGCAGCAGCAATTGCAACAGCAGCAGCAGCAGCAGCTAGGTCATGGCAGTTCTCAGTATTCTCAAAATAATTCTGTTCGACCCATTGTCCAGGGACAGACTCAGAATACATCTAATAACCAGTTCAATTCTAAGTCAATGGACCCCAGCCATTTGCGCCTTGATAACCTTGTCATCAATGGTCCAGCAACCCCAACAAATAATAGTTATCCGAATAGTAACCATCAACAATATAATGGATTCATTTCTTCACAGCCTTCCACTACAAACAGTGGTTCAGTATATTACCAACATGAACATGGAAAACCCCCAAGTGTCAGTCAGAGTACGCCTGTCAGTAATTACTATTCTAATCAAGAAACAAGTGTGAAATCATCTTTATCTCCTGCTCAACAAAGTGGAACCCAGAGACTAGACTCTCTTCTTCAAATGAGCAGTACGGCAAGTAGTGAACGCCCTTCAAATTCACATCAACCTCCTCAACCACCTGAAAGAGGGTCATCTTTCACAGTAATGTCCCAGACTCAAGGTGTGTTGCGAAATTCATCTGCCAACATTTCAACAATGGGTGTTGATAGAGGAAATCCCATTAACAATAGGTCATCTGAGAATAGCGTCCAAACTAACTCTTCCGCAACGACAAAGAGAGTGTCGTTCCATGATCCTAATGCAAATCAGCCTCCTCCCCCACCAGCATCTCAGCCTCCTGCAATGGAGCGCATTCGGGAAGATCCCAACGTAAGTATTGTAAGGATTAAAAAGTGAAATATGTGAAGACCCTAAACAAGTAGGTTGTGGTAAATGTCTTGTTTTTTATTTAAGCATTTCATCAACGAAGCTGAGTCGCTTTTGTCATCACCAAAGAGTCCTGATGGGCCGTTCCCTACCAATACACCTGGGGTTATTGGCGCTCAGGAAGTTTACAGGTAAGTGTGCACTTAATTCAAGATTTTGAAAAGGGTGTACATCAAACTTATATGACAAGATATATGTTTCTAACTCGCTTTTCTTCATCTTCTTCTTTTTTTCACATTTGGAAAGTATTCAATTTTCAGTGCAATAATTTATAGTATTTGCATGGGCATACTGCAGAACTGCTATGTATGGTTGTTGTTTAGGGATCCAAGAACTCGCCTTTTGGCACAGCAGCAACATCAGAAGCTCATGTCGAGCAGAGGGGGTCAAGTGCCTGAGAAGTTAAGTTTCAAGGAGAAAATGAAAATGTTTGCAATGGAAACTGGTGAGGATGGAACCCCAAAGGACAAGGTGAAGATTTCCCGAGCCCAACGTGATATTGACAACCTTTCATCTCCTGGTCCGGGAAACAGTAATAACAATAACAATGGAAATTGAAAGTTAAATGTAAATACCTTATGTAATTGGACATAATTCCACTGGACAATTTGGTTGTCCTAAGTTTGCAGTATTTTTTGTGCAAGAACGCAGTATTTTGTGGCCGTGTTCGTAATGAGTTATGTATGTGGCTGTGTTAAAGTGATGAATAAGTGTTTGTACAGTTTATTCAGATTTTATTTCAATTCATAGAATTTTAAAATACTTAAAAGTTTCTTGATAAGTGTTGTAGAAAACATTAGATGCACTTTTTACTTCAATTTTACATAATGAGGAAAGTGCTGTGAAATTTAGTCTTATTTAAGAGTGAGTGTGTATGTGTATGTGTGTGAACACACACACACACACACATTCTCTGTCTCTCATTCTGTAATTACTATTATTAAAACTACTGTTTAGGATATTGAAGTGTGCATTGCCAATATGTATTATTGTGGAAAAAAGTGCCACTTCTGTTATAAAAATCATGAATCAATGTTGTTTAGTTTATATTTAATTATATTTTATCTGTACAAGCTTTTATTTCTTATTATTTTTGATTTATTTATGAGCCAGTTACTTAGCTTTCATCATGAAATTCAAATAACAACATTAAAGATAAATTTGCATAAAAATCTTTGTCATCATGATAGATATCCATATTCGTGTTTAAATGTCAGGATGAGAATGAAAAACAAGAGGCCTTCAACTAGTGTGTTAAGTGAATATAAAAATAACTCTGTACCTTACTAAAGAACTTTGAATGTATTCCTAACATTTTTATTAGTTAGGCTAGGTAGTACTTGATATTGGTTTTTATACTTCTTGCAAACTTGAAATATCATTAATATTAGTAAATTCAATGTCCTTGTACATAGTAAACTTTATTCATGGGATTTTGCTTCCCGTATGGACTTTAACAATATAACTGTGATCTGGTAAAGATCTGCTTTCGTCTAGTTTTCAGGTATCTTGAAATAAAGCAAAAAGCTTTTGTAATTGTACATAGTATTGTGGTTCATTGCTATGTTTAGATGAACAAAATGTAATTGAGCAATTGTTAAATTACCTGATTCTGTTGTTTTATTATATGTAAGTAAATAAATTTTATCACTGCTAACACTGTACTATTGTGATAATATAAAATTATATTTTGTTTATGAACATATGGCTTTTCCTCTTTTTAATGTTACTTAATTTCATGACTATTTATATTTCTGTTTCTTCACAAATCATATATTATGACTTATAACAACATTGCACTGGTCGAGAGATTTGTTGTAAATGCACTTTACTCAAGTTACTGTAGAATTTACTAAGCAATACTTAAATTGACTGACTTGATAAAACTGTTTTGTATGATTGAAAAATGCTCTGAGATAATTGCAGCTGTTATATTTATAGTGCAGTTTCTTATATATACTGTGTTAGTACCAGAAGGCTTGAGACAAGGGCCAGTAGTGGTTACTAAATGGATGAATTACATTGAAAATCAATGGTTGAGCTATACTAGGTCTCGTGAAACAGGTGCTAATTCTGGTGAACTGAGCAGTACCTGCTGGCTGTGATACCTGTGCCCTTGTTCTGCAGCTATCATACGTTCTGAGCTTTGAATCAGTGAGTCCTGGTCTCTGTTATGATGTGTTTGTAAGCCTTGTTAGCCAATGACAACAGGTCAGTGCTAGCAGAGCAGGGGTCATATGTCATCTTTTGTGTGTGCAGGATTGTGCTTTGTTGATAACATACGTCCAATACATCACTTGAGTGCTCACTAGTGAGATGTGTCCATTGTTTCAAGAGAAATAAAGATATTAAGATTGTTTTTTTTATTGTAGAATATGGCAGATCACTTAAATAGTATGATATAAAGATATATTCATTGTGAAGATAGTAATGTTTATCTGTTTTGTTTTACAATTTTTCATCACAAATACAAATTGTATTAATCTATAAAGAGAAACTTGTATTAACATCTTGTAAAATTTTTATAATTATAATCCATTCAAGATCATGTATATAGTTATTTTTCATGTATCTATGTAAAGGAAATGAATTATTTCATGTATAGATTATGGCAAGTTAGCTTTACTTGACCAGAAAATAAAGAAAGTAAAGTTGATTGTGTGTCCTATGTATTTTCCTACTTCCTGTCACATGTAAAGATGTTATATTGTATCATATGAGTGCCAGTCAAATTCACTGCTAATGGGGCAAATAGCCTTGGCTTCTTTGTTGTACTACTTTATTATATTCATATACAGCAAAACCCCGTTTTCACACTTTTCAGGGAACCTATGAAAAAAAGTGAAAATACAAGAAATTGGAAAAACAATAGGCTATTTAAGTACTTTCATTATTTACTGCAATGGTGGCTTTGTTTTATGTCATGCATAGGAGTGGTAGTATTTGTTTTTTTTGAACAGTCGTTGCAGGACTCATATTTTGATGTTTGTCATTGTTATCAATATTCATTTTTTGGATGATGAAAGTGTGAACTACTTTCTGGGGAATTTTCCCAGAATATTATTGCGTATTTAGATGCAAGTGAACATTTGCAAAGTACACAATTCGCAGTGCATCTGAGTTGAAATATGACTTAGGATGTATATGGCATAACATGACTTGGTAAGCTTGTGTTTAGATTTATGATATGGGAGTCCATTTTAGATCATCTTGAATAAGTCAATCCAAGAAAGTGTTTTTGGCTATTTTTACAGGCACGTTTTTATCATCAATGTCTGGAGGCTTTTCTTTAGAGAGTGGATTCGAAAGTTTAAGGAGACAGTTTATTAGTGTTTATTGATGAGTTTATTGCCGTGAACCATTTACTAGTGCTCTAGGACGTTTTGTGCTTCTTTTTGTAGAGTTTGTTGGGTATTTGCTTTAAATAATAATGTTGTGTCATCTCGAAATGGACCATTTGCTCTTTTGTCAGGAACATGTCATTGATGTATAATACAAATAGTATGGGCCTAGGATTCATCCTTTTGGAGTCCATAATTTATCATTCTACGTTGGAAAAATGGGTAGAAATCTTTTTATCTCTAACATGCTTGATGTGACTTTGACAACGATTTGAGAGTAAGATTTAACCATCGATGTGCAATGCCTCTAAGTTTCAAGTTTGATAACCAGCACCGTGATGGTCAATAATGTCGATGCCTTTGATAGATCTAGGAAAGAAAACCATAGGATTTCTTTCTGATCTAGAGCAACATGTATGTCCATTTTAGAAGGTTGAAAGATAGTGTATAATGTAGCTCTACCATTTCGAATCCATGTTGGGCTTGTCAATATGTATCTTTGAATTGAAGAAATTTTGAGTCTATCGTTAAAAAGGCTTTTCCTAGAATTTTTGAGAATCTGTAAGGATATTAGTCTGTAATTCATAAGACCGTGAGAGTTGCCTTTTTTGAATAGGGGTTTAACTTTTGCTTTTTTGAGAATTTCTGGGAAGATACCTGTCATTAAGGAGTAATTACAAACGTGAGCGAGCAGTTCTATTATGTTTGTTGCAGTATGTTTAATGAGGGTGTCAGGGATGTCCTGTAGAGAATTTGTTTTCCATTTTATTTATGATTTTCTGTATTTCTGCAAGTGATGTTTCACAGATATATATGGAGTTTACATTTGCTGAAGTGTGGATATTTGACTGCATAATTGTATTATTTAAGGAGTTGTCATGAATTAATTTTTCTCCAATTTATGAGAAATGTCTATTGAATGTGTTTGCTACAGCTTGTGGGTTGTGAAGAACATTATTTTTGTAATGAGGTCAATGTTCTTAGTGTTTCTGCTTTTAGAGTATTGTTCACAATGTTCCACATTGCTTTTGTTTTGTGCTTTGGCAATACTTTGATAATACATTAACAGTTTGGCCTGTTTAATTACTTTCTTCAAGATACTTTTGTATGTTTTGTAATAAGTAATGA